AAAAACAAAAATAAACAAATGGGACCTAATGAAACTTCAAAGCTTTTTCACAGCAAAGGAAACCATAAAGAAGGCCAAAAGACAACACTCAGAATGGGAGAAAATATTTGCAAGTGAAGCAACTGACAAAGGATTAATCTCCAAAATTTACAAGCAGCTCATGCAGCTCAATAACAAAAAAACAAACAACCAAATCCAAAAATGGGCAGAAGACCTAAATAGACATTTCTCCAAAGAAGATATACAGACTGCCAACAAACACATGAAAGAATGCTCAACATCACTAATCATTAGAGAAATGCAAATCAAAACTACAATGAGATATCATCTCACACCAGTCAGAATGGCCATCATCAAAAAATCTAGAAATAATAAATGCTGGAGAGGTGTGGAGAAAAGGGAACCCTCTTGCACTGCTGGTGGGAATGTGAATTGGTTCAGCCACTATGGAGAACAGTATGGAGGTTTCTTAAAAAGCTACAAATAGAACTACCATATGACCCAGCAATCCCACTACTGGGCATATACTGTGAGAAAACCAAAATTCAAAAAGAGTCATGTACCAAAATGTTCATTGCAGCTCTATTTACAATAGCCCAGAGATGGAAACAACCTAAGTGTCCATCATCAGATGAATGGATAAAGAAGATGTGGCACATATATACAATGGAATATTACTCAGCCATAAAAAGAAACGAAATTGAGCTATTTGTAATGATGTGGATAGACCTAGAGTCTGTCATACAGAGTGAAGTAAGTCAGACAGAAAGACAAATACCGTATGCTAACACATATATGGAATTTAAGAAAAAAAAATGTCATGACGAACCTAGGGGTAAGACAGGAATAAAGACACAGGCCTACTGGAGAACGGACTTGAGGATATGGGGAGGGGGAAGGGTGAGCTGTGACAAAGCGAGAGAGAGGCATGGACATATATACACTAACAAACGTAAGGTAGATAGCTAGTGGGAAGCAGCCGGATAGCACAGGTATATCAGCTCGGTGCTTTGTGACCGCCTGGAGGGGTGGGATAGGGAGGGTGGGAGGGAGGGAGACGCACGAGTGAAGAGATATGGGAACATATGTATATGTATAACTGATTCACTTTGTTACAAAGCAGAAACTAACACACCATTGTAAAGCAATTATACTCCAATAAAGATGTAAAAAAAATTTAAAAAATGAATATGAGGATACCAAGTGCAATCATTTCTAGAAGAAAAGATAGGAATGTTTACTTTTCTGGATATAAAGAGCTATTATAAAGCTACAAGAATTAAGACAGTGTGGTGTTGGCACAGGAATAGAGAAGTAGGCAGTACAGAAAAGAAAGCTCAGAATAGACCAGGTATACCCACATCTGATTTATAACAAAGACAGCACTGCAAATAAATGTGGCAAAGACAGGCTTTTTAATAAATGGTACTCAGTTCATTAGATATGATTTGGGAAAAAACGCTTGATTCCCTACTGCACAACATATACAAAAATTAGTTCCAGGTGGATTGTGAATCTAAAAGAGAGTGGCAAAATAATATAGCCTCCAAAATATAATATAGGAGAGTATCTTCAGGACCTCAAGGTTCAGATTCACAATATGACAAAATCATCTCAAACAAGTAACCAAAAGAACTATCCATAAAGAAAAGAAATTGGACTCTTAAAATTAAGAGCTACTCTCCATCAAAAGATACGATTAAGGGCTTCCCTGGTGGCGCAGTGGTTGAGAGTCCGCCTGCCGATGCAGGGGACATGGGTTCGTGCCCCGGTCCAGGAAGATCCCACATGCCGCGGAGCAGCTGGGCCCGTGAGCTATGGCCGCTGAGCCTGCGCGTCCGGAGCCTGTTGCCCCGCAACGGGAGAGGCCACAACAGTGAGAGGCCCGAGAACCGCAAAAAAAAAAAAAAAAAAAAAAAAAAGATACGATTAAGAGTACGAAGTCACATGGGCTTCCCTGGTGGCGCAGTGGTTGGGAGTCTGCCTGCCGATGCCGCGGACGTGGGTTTGTGCCCCGGTGTGGGAGGATCCCACGTGTCGCGGGGTGGCTGGGCCCGTGAGCCATGGCCACTGGGCCTGCGCGTCTGGAACCTGTGCTCCGCAATGGGAGAGGCCACAGCGGTGAGGGGCCCGCGTACCGCGAAAAAAAAAAAACGAGTACGAAGTCACAGAGTGAAAAGGTATTTGCAATACATATAATCAAAAAAGGGCTTGAAATCTGAATATACAAATAATTCTTCCAAATCAATTTTTAAAGATAAGCAAGACATTAGAAAAAATGGGCAAGATGAAAAATATGCTCAATCTCATTAATTATTGGGGAAATGCAATTGAAAACTACAATGCAATTCAAGAATATACTCACCAGAATGGTTAAAATAAAAAGACTTAAAATGCAAGTGCTGGTCTTCACTGGTGGTGCAGTGGCTGAGAGTCCGCCTGCCGATGCAGGGGACGCGGGTTCGTGCCCTGGTCCGGGAAGATCCCACATGCCGCAGAGCGGCTGGGCCCGTGAGCCATGGCCGCTGAGCCTGCGCGTCCGGAGCCTGCGCTCCGCAACGGGAGAGGCCGCAACGGTGAGAGGCCGTGTACCGCAAAAAAAAAAAAATGCAAGTGCTGCTGAGGATGAGGAACACGAAGACCGCTCGTTCTCTGCTGGTGGAAGTCTAAATTAGTATACTCTCTTTGAAGAACTGACACTGTCAGTTACATCTGAGTACTTGAACATCTTGTGACCCATCAGTTCTACTCCTACACATTTAACCAACTGACATGTTTGCACATGGGCACCAAGAGACATGTTCCAGGATATTCACAGCAGCAAAAACTGGAAACTGAAATGGCCATTAAGAGCAGAACTGATGATGTATACGTATAGCTGATTCACTTTGCTGGACAGCAGAACCTAACACAACATTGTAAAGAAACTATACTCCAATAAAAATTAACTTAAAAAAAACAAAACAAAAAAAAAAAATTTAACCACTCTTGTGGGTATGTAGTAGTATCACATTGTGATTTAGCTTACATTTTTCTGATGACCAATAATGTTCAGCATTTTTTTTTTTTTTGTGGTACGCAGGCCTCTCACTGCTGTGGCCTCTCCCGTTGCGGAGCACAGGCTTCGGATGCGCAGGCTAAGTGGCCATGGCTCACAGGCCCAGCTGCTCCACGGCATGTGGGATCCTCCCGGACCGGGGCACGAACCTGTGTCCCCTGCATCGGCAGGCAGACTCTCAACCACTGCGCCACCAGGGAAGCCCTGTTCAGCATATTTTTATGTGCTTGTTTGCTATTTGTTGATCTTCTTTGTGAAATGCCTATTAAAATATTTTGCCCATTTAAAAACAAAGAGTAGAACTGATGAATAAAGTGTGATATATTCATAAAATGATGAATTCGTAAAATACTTTACAATAAATTCATAAAATGAAATGAAATATAGAAACGGAAATGAATGAACTACAGCTAACCAGAAAAACATGAATGAATCATACTTTGGAATAAAAGGAGCCAGATACAAATTAGATAGATAGGTAGGTAGACAGATAATAGATAATTTGATTTCCCTTTATAAAACTTTCAAAAACAGATAAACTAACCTGTGGTACCTGTGGTATTAGGAGTTAAGATAGAAGTTACCTTTGGGATGGAGGGAAAGGTAGTCATTGGAAGTGGCTTTTAGGGCGTTGACAAAGTTTTATTTTTTGACCTGAGTAGTGTTTCTATGGGAGTTTGCTTTGTGGTATTCCATTAACATTGTGTATTTATGTTGTGTCAGCTTTTCTGTTTGTGTGTTAGATTTCAGTGAAAAATAAGAAAAAAGGAAAGAAAAATATCCAACAGCGGGTGAGACATAACGGGAAAGAATCCCCAAAAGAGCAACTAAACTGTAGACAGAGCATCATCTGTGATAGTGGTGTTCCTTGAAAGTGTTGTACACTGAATTTTCAAAGCTCTTGGGAACCTCCCAAGTGCTTTACAAGGTCTTTGGGGAGGAAGGAGAAAATGATAAATCTAGATTAAAATATTTGTGTGTTGCAATTTGATGCAAAGTCCATCTGTATGGCCTTCTGAGGTTATTCTGTGTGTTCATGTATTGTCCTAATGCTACATGTAGGACATCTCCCACAGTCGTGTAATTTCTAATGATGTCATCCACTACCTGGTACTCACCTCTCTCACAGAACTGATCATACCTGTTCTAGCTGCCTGTTTATCTTTCTCTCTACTGTCAATAAAAAATTACTGAAGGCCAGAGACTGTCAAATTTTCTAAGTGCTCTATCCTCAGTTTCTAACACAGTACCTGGCATGTAATAAGCACTTAATGACTACCTGCTCAGCATGTAAATGAAAATCTTATAAATAAATTAAAAAAAAAAGAAATCTTTCACAGCACCTTGAAAATTAATAAGATTAGCAGGGCATTCTGCTTTGAACTCTCTGGGTAAGAGAGTCCTCACAGGCTGAAAGTTCTGCCTGTAGTATTCCTGCCCTGCAGATATCCATTCATCAGAGTCCCTTTGTAGCTGCATTTATTGAAACATAAACTCAAATTTATTTTCAAATAAACATCGTGTACAAATTATTTGTCAATGGAATCTTATCAAAGCTTTAGCATGTGAGTGGTTGTTCCCTTGGATATTGATTGGATATTCCATTTAGAACCAAGGACACTCATGAAAAACAACAGGTTAGAAGAAACACATGTGGATGTGCTCTCAAATTCCTTGCTTTTTTATTATTTTCAAATAACTTTCCTTTCTCACACATACAAACACAGAAGCAATTTTTCTAATTGGCTGCTATACTTGCCTCCACAATCACAGAGGTAACAATGATCTTAGTACCTTAAATATATATATTGCAACTTAGAATAAGACCGGAGATAATAAACTTCAAGAAATTTGTTTGGGCACACCACTCTATGAAATTTTAATAACAGGGGACATTTTAAAAACTCAAAATCTTGCAGGACAAGAAATCAAAATTCCATACCTTGGTCACTGCTATAGAGAAGCTGAAGCTGGGAAGTGTGGTGAGGATTACACACATCATCATAACAGGTCTCCTAGCAAAGGAGAAAAAATAAGCAAAAGCAATAATGTACAAGATCAACAGTTCCTGTTACATTTTGCCAATTTTGCAGTTCCTGTTCCATTCATCTATAGTTTTTCTAAGAAGCTACTACTTCCCTATTTCCATTTCCCAAATGTTTGAGTATGGCAAAGGGGAACACACACAAAAGCCGGAATGCTTTTCTAGAACAAAGGGGTGAGAGGTTTCCAAATAATTAGCAAACCATCGACTGCTAAAAGCATCACAGTACAAGACAAATGACATTCAATATTTTCAAAATTCATTCATCAGAATCCTGCCCAAGCGTTCAGGGTCTGGCGACCAACTGAAAAAAAGAACAGCATGAACTTCTCAAGTGATACTATACCCCATGTTGTAAAACTGATTTTTCAAACAATATATTTAGAAACAATATACTGTTGGATAGTTAAAGACGACTTAGAGTGAAAACACCTGGATTTTTTTACGTGAACCACCCCCCCCCCAAAAAAAATCATATAGACATAAAAATCACATAGTTTTTAAATTTGTTTTTGGACCACTTTTTAAGCCTTGCATGATCAAGCAAACAAATAGCTATTGAGATATAATATATAATAGTCTATCATGACAGAGAGAATTAAAATGTATATTTAACATCACTAATTTATGGGAAGATAAAATATACTCAGAGGTTTTCTATAGTGAAATATTTACCCCCTCTTTCCTAAGTTAAATACGTATTATATGAATTACATATATAGGATAGTATGTGTTTAAGTTCAAAAAGTATTGTTGGAGTCTTACAAATGACTAAGAATTCTTCTTGGTCCCACCATTTCACTCTACCCCAGTCCCATCCTAGATGTTCTAGGTATAGACATAAGATAGGGCATTGGATAGCCCATCTCTCATAGCCAGACTCAGTACAACCTGCTAAAACCAGAAGTAAGATGGAATTTTAAATCCTCTTCTCAGCTTGACCTCTAAAAAATAAGAGTGCCCCAGGGATTATTCCTGCACCCCTTATTTATCTATATTATCTCCCCTGATGATCTCAGCCCATCCCATCGCTTTAAACACCACCCACTTGCCCATGACTCACAAACAGATTATAGTGTATATACACTGGCCTCTATCCTGAGCTCTGGACTTGGACACCCAACTATCTATTTGGCACCTCCACTCAGATGTCTAATCTAATAGGCAACTCAAACTTAACATGCCTAAAAAAGAACCCATACTCATTCCAATCATCATCAAATGCTGTCTGATGATTTAATGCCAAAATGTATTTTGAATCAACCTCTGCTAACACCGTGGTTCTCTCACTATCATATCTCATCTGCAGTGTTTCGTAACCAGTTTCCTGTTAGTGTCCCTCTTCTTGCCTAGCAATATTTTCTCCGTAGAGCAAACGTCTGATTCTTCAAATGTAAAACACCTCTTGTTACTGCCCTGCTCAAAAATCACCAAAGCTGGGAGGAGTGGGGAATGGGGAGTTACTGTTTAATGGCTACAGAGGTTCAGTTTTGCCAGATGAAGAGGGTTCTGTGGATAGATGGTGGCGATGGTAGCACACCAATGTGCATGTACTTAATGCCAATGAGCTGTGCACTTGAAAATGGTTAAGATGGTAAATTTTATGCTAGGTGTATTTTACCACAAAATACACTCATTTGTATATTTTAGAGATTCTAAAAATATTTTCAATGTATGACTAATGTAATTAGAATAAAACTGAAACCTATCACTGTTGCCTAAGTGTTCTACGTGATGTGGTTTCTCTTATTTCTCCTACTCTCTTCACTTAGAATGACCTGCCTCTTCCCCACCATCCACTTAATCCTGCCATACTAGCACCCTGGTTATTCTGTGGTCACACCAAGCTTGCCCCACCTTCGAGGCTTACACTGGCTCTTCCTTTTTGCCAGGGTGTCTCTAGATCGTAGATCTAAATCTAGATCATAATCTTCCATGTCTGGCTCCTGTGTGCCTATCCCCAAGGTAAGTTCCATGGGACTATGTACCTTATCTGAATTGTTCATTACTTTAGCTCCAGCATTTAGAACAATGTTTCTAAATCTTTTTTGTACAATAAACTTCCTGGGAATCTGCTAAATCCTATGGACCCTTCTCAGAATAGAATTTTTAAATGCACAAAATACATAGACTACAAAACAAAGCAATTATATTGAAATACAGTTATCTGGGCTTCCCTGGTGGCGCAGTGGTTGAGAGTCCGCCTGCCGATGCAGGGGACGCGGGTTCGTGCCCCGGTCCGGGAAGATCCCACATGCCGCGGAGTGGCTGGGCCCGTGAGGCATGGCCGCTTGAACCTGTGCGTCCGGAGACTGTGCTCCGCAACAGGAGAGGCCGCAACAGTGAGAAGCCCGCGTACCACCAAAAAAAAAAAAAAAAAAAAAAGTAATACAGTTATCCACATTCTTTTAAAATTTTGAGTTAGTAATATATACACTTATCTAAGAATACAGTGTCTTCTAATTTTCTTTGGAGCATTCAAGATCTAGTGGAAACTGTAGTCTCTCATAATTTCAAGGTAGTGAAGATCATAAACCGTAATCTGAAGTATCTGCAACAATTGTAATGTGATATGAAAAAAAATCTATGTAATAAAATTACAGGTCCTGCTAATACTACTGTGGTTTGTTACCAACATTCATAATGGAAAGAAATGCCATCTTTCAATCAGAGGTTATCGAAAATAGAGATGTAACTTGTTTCTCATCCAAGTTCAAGAACCCCATAACCCTGGAGAATATCTGGCACAGAGTAGGAATTCAATAAATGCTAAATGAATGAACAGACCAGTTAATAAGTGAATACTAATCCAAATCTGTGTTTTATTTAAGCAGAAATAATGATAACCTGTATTTGAAAATCTTGACTCACTGCTAACGTCTGCTTCTAATTTATTAATGAGTGGTATGGGTTAAATTGTGTCCTCCCTAAAAGACATGCTGAAGTTCCAACCCCCAGGACCTCAGAATGTAACCTTATTTGGAAATAGGGTCTTTACAGAGGTAATAAGTTAAAATGAGGTCATTAGGGCGGGACCCCATCCAAAAAGACCAGTGGCCTTATATAAAAGGAAATTTGGAGACAGATATGTACAGAAGGAAGATTACATGAAGAAACACAGGAAGACACCATATGAAGATGAAGACAGAAATCAGGGTGATGCATCTATAAGCCAAGGAATGCCGAAGATTGCCAGCAGACCATCAGAAGCTAGAAGAGAGACGTCCCTGGTGGCACAGTGGATAAGAATCCGCCTGCCAATGCAGGAGATACGGACTCGATCGCTGGTCCAGGAAGATCCCACATGCTGTGGAGCAACTAAGCCTGTGCGCCACAACTACTGAGCCTGCATGCTGCAACTACTGAAGCCCACGTGCCTAGAGCCCATGCTCTGCAACAAGAGAAGCCACCACAGTGAGAAACCCGCGCACCGCAATGAAGAGTAGCCCCCTCTCACCGCAACTAGAGAAAGCCCGCACACAGCAGCGAAGACCCAACACAGCCAAAAATAAATTTTTAAAAAAATGTTAAAAAAAAAAAAAAAGAAGCTAGAAGAGAGGCTTGGACTGGATTCTCCCTCATAGCCCTCAGAAGGAACCAAGCCTTCCAACGCTTTAATCTCGAACTTCTAGCTTCCAGAACTGTGACACAATAAATTTCTGTTGTTTAAACCACCCAGTTAGAAGTACTTTGTTATGACAGTCTTAGGAAACTAACACAGATTTTGCTATAGGGAAGTGAGATACTGCTGTAACAAATACCGAAAATGTGGAAGTGGCTTTGGAATTCGGTAATGGATAGTCTGGAAGAGTCTGAAGATGCAGGATAGAAAAAGGCTAGATTATCCAGAAGAGAATGTTAGTGGAAATATGGAAGTTAAAGGAGATTCTGGGGAGAGCTCAGAAAGAGGAGAGCTGTACAGAAAGCCTCTACTGTTCTAGAGAATACATATATTATTATGAACAGAATGTTGCTAAAAACATGAATATTAAAAGTCCTTTTGGTGAGATCTCCGACAGAAATGAAGACTGTGTTACTGGAAACTGGAAGAGCGGTGATCCTTTTTATACAGTGACAGAGAACTTGGCTGAAATGTGTTCTGTTGAGTATAAAGGAGAACTTGTAAGCAATGAGCTCAGACACTTAGCTAAGGGGATTTCTAAGCAAAGTGTTGAAGGCACTGCCTGGTTTCTCCTTGTTGACTAGAGTAAAATGCAAGAGGAGAGAGAGAAATTGAAGAAGGAATTGTTAAACAAAAAAAAGCCCAGTCTTGAAGATTCAGAAAATTCTCACCCTATCCATGTTGCAAAAGACACAAAAAATGAGACAGCATGTTCTGGAGACAACAGTAAGGGTGTGGCTTGTGAATCCAATCAACCATCTCAGCAGAAACCCTGACAGCTTGCACTGAAGGGGGACAGAGATGGGACGAAATGAAGAAAGGCTGTGAGACTTCTGGGTACGATCGGCAGGAAACAGGCTAAAACAGAGCTATATGGATGCAAATATGTACTATCCTTCAAGAAAAGGGAAGAACGACTCTGATGATGCTGCAGAGGCCAGGGAAGCTGCCGCTGCCACCACAGGCCCAGGGGTTCCCTCCTCAGATCCAGAGAGCAGGGCTGCTGCCCAAGGCCCAGAGGGTGGAGCCTTCACCTTGATGAGCCCAGAGGACAGTGTCCAGACACAGAGGTTTATTGCCAAGCCTTAAAACTTAGAACTGTTGGCTAAAACCAATATACAGGCAGACCTTGTTTTGCCACGTTTTGCGTTCTTGTGCTTTGTAATAAATTGAAGGTGTGTGGTATCAATGAGACCACACTCAGACATTAACAAGCCAACCAGCATCCCAAGGAGGCATCCCAAAGAGTAAAAGGTCCAGAAATCATAAGACAAGAAATACTGATGGAGCCTGGACACTGGAGAAGAGAAGATGTCAGTGAGCTCAGAGAAAAGGTCACCCCTAGAAAC